GGTGTTCTTCGTAGTGAAATGTGGCCTCTCTTGACCTTTAATCTTGGTTCGCATCCGAAAAAGAAACCTAATAGGTTCTCTCATGTGTGATTCTATATATTTCACCTATAGCATTTCCCTCAACTCATGTTCAGTGCGAAACATGTGAAATACAATATGCCATGCCTCCCCAACTAAGTATTCATGTGCCTGCTTTCTGTTTAGACTGAAAAGTTAAATAGACAGCCACAAGAAATTAAGCATAAAAAGTTTCTGGATATCAAACGCACCTCCCTAGAGGGTAACCTTAATGTGGCTGATTTCCCCTCCTTTGCAATCAATTCGCTACAGTGCCTACTGTCCCTAGAGGGTAACCTTAATGTGGCTGATTTCCCCTCCTTTGCAATCAATTCGCTACAGTGCCTACTGCTCTAGGTAATTGTCCACCCTTTCCAAGTGTGATTTCTATGTTATGTATAGCCCAACCATCTAAATTTCAAATGGCAAATCTACCGTGAGGTAGAAATCGAAAGAAAAACCATAGCACATGAAGCCAAGCAATTGAAGGCAAATCTTGATTCTTGAAATTCTTGCAGTAGCAAAACATAGCTCTATAGCATCAACTTCAGTCTTCAGCAACAAGAAGGCACAACTAAGCCCTCGACGTGCATCATTTTCGTGAAATCACTAAGGGCTTGTTTGGATTGAGGGGAATAAGGGTGAAGGGAAGTTAGGGGAACCATTCACCTCCATTCACCTTGTTTGGGAACATTTAGGAGGTGAAGTTATTCACCCTAGTTCCCCTTGGTTCACCCCCTAATAGTATAAAATTTGTTACCCCCCAAATTGGGGTAATAGTATAAAATTTGTTACCCCCCAAATTGGGGTGTAACCAAGGGGAAGGGAACTCCCTTCCCTTCCCTTCCCTTCCCTTCCCTTCCCTTCCCTTCTCTCACTTAGTTTCCCTTAACTTCCCTTCACCCCCTACAAATCCAAACAGGCTCTAAGTGTGGTAGGCTAGCGGATAGGGGAGTAACAAGGACTAGGTACAACTACAACGACGCCCATCAATTCTTTCTGACTTGAGAAAGCTTCTTTGACCTCTAGCTGCTGCCCCTATCAAATGATACGTAGGTTACTCAATGACTACTACGTATACGTATTTTCCCAGCCCATGATCCTGAATAGCTAATGGTAGTTGGGTAGTAGTTTGTAGTAGATGGTCTAATCAACAACTTCGTCGAGCTATACATATAAAAGGTGAGGCACCTACTGCTTCAAAAGCCACCCCTTGGGCACGAGGGGAATTCAGCTTTTATCAGTCTCTCGTCCCTAACACACTTTTTTTCTCAGGTCAAAGAGAAGCCAACTACTTTAACCATGCATATCAACTACTCAAAGCACACATTGGCATAACAAATGATACAATGGTTACTCAATGGCACGTTATTGGCCGCTTTGCAAACTGAAAGCACATGTTTCCAAAATATATCACTGCTATTGTGCAATAGCATAGCGAGAAGGAACCGCTAACGCTACTAGCGCCGCTATTGCGGCGCTATTTACCGCTATTTACAACAGTGCTAAATTTGTTAAAAGTTTGACTTGATAATTACATGAATATGTATGTGCATATCCATCTGTGCTTGTCAATTAATATTGTTGACAATGAAAAATGCATCATCAGCTGTGATCAGTTAGATGAAGAAAAAAATAACAGTAACTTAAAAAAATTTATCATGTCACATGCCATGCAAGAGCCATACTTGCAGACAATGTTTTCCTATGGAAAACAGTGGAGCATTTGATGAGTCAACGCAATTCAAACTCAGGTGTGATTTCATAAAATATGCAAGGATATAAGCACTATGCAATGGTAGAAAAGCTAGCAAGATAAATATACAAGACAAATCTAAAGTTTCAGGTGTGATTTTCATAAAATATACAAGGATATAAGCAGTTCGCAATGGTAGAAAAGCTAGCAAGACAAATAAGCCAAAAACTTTATACAATTGTTTCTCAGGGGAAGAAAAAAATGTAAGGAATGATTTATTTTATCTCTTATAATAAAACAAATACTACCAGTAACCTAATATTACAAAAAAATGTAAGGAATGATTTATTTTATCTCTTATAATAAAACAAATACTACCAGTAACCTAATATTACATGAATATTTGCATATAAAATGAGATAATTTCTTATAATAAAACAAATACTACCAGTAACCTAATATTACATGAATATTTGCATATAAAATGAGATAATTGGTCTTAAGGTTGCTTCATAGGAGTTTCCAACAGTTTAATTTTTTAAAAGAAAAGAAAAGAAATAAACCACTGAAACGAAATCCACAAAAAAGGGAATTTGAATTTTGACAACGCAGTCAGATAAAGAAAAAAAAAGAACAATACTTACAATTTTTTTAACCATATACATGCTATGCAAGAGCCGTATTTGCCTACACTTTTTTCCTACCAAAAAAACGGTGGAGTATTTGATGAGTCAAGGCAATTTAAACTCAAAAAAGTATCTGGTGTGATTTTCATAAAATACACAAGGATATAAGCAATATGTAATGGCAGAACAGCTAGCAAAAACAAATAAGCCAAAGACTTTATACAAACACTTCTCAGGGGTAGAAAAGGTAAGGAGAACAGCTAGCAAAAACAAATAAGCCAAAGACTTTATACAAACACTTCTCAGGGGTAGAAAAGGTAAGGAATGATTTGTTTTATCCCTTATAATAAAAATAATACTGCCAGTAAGATAATGTTACATGAAAATTTGTATATAAAATGAGATGATGGATCTTATGGTTGCATCATAGGAGTTTCCGACGGTTTAATTTAAAAAAAAAAACAGAAGAAACGAACTGCTGAAAAGAAATTCATCAAAGGGGAATTTGAATTTTGACAATGCACTTCCAAAATATAAAGCATGTAGGAAAACTACTGTTTGGAACAAGAAAATCATGACCAAGCAAGTCTATGCATATGTCTGAAATCACTGGGGAAATACCAATTTGCTTTCTCAAAATTTTAGGGTAATGGCGCTAGGAATCACCTATTTTGCAGGAAAATGAAATGACATATTTCTCAGACTGAAAACATAGCATCTTTCTAGTAGAAAGAATTGCAAGTCTAGGCTACTAGATCCACAATGTTCCCTTTCAAGACTGAAATTAGAATTATCTTCTTTTAAAAAAACATATCTAGTAAGATATCGAGTTAACCAATTGCGTGATGAACCAGAAGATCAAATCCCATGGTAAACTATAGTTTGACATGAAAGAAAAAAAAACCCTAGAGAAAAGGATGAAGTAAGGAACTAAATAAGATTAAATATAAACTATGTTAACCTACAACAAGTTAGCATGCCTTTTTACTGTGTCTTCCTCTTGCATTAAGTGTTGCAATCTCCTAATCTGAAAGGGAAGGGGATTATGAAGAGAATTAAAAGAATGGCTTTAACATGGAAGGAAAGAAATCAAAGAATATTCCAGCAGAGAGCACAGGATCCAGCAGCAATTTTTCATAGAGTGAAGACACTAATACTATCTAGAATTCTGAATGGTGATTTTCCTCCTCATATAAAAGAGAGAATAGCGCAATTGTAATTGCTTTTCTTTAACACTTTTGCTGTTTTTTGATTGCCAGGAAAATACTGGTATTTTGATGTTCTACACAATTTACACATTTGGAAAATGAATAAAATTTATTTCATTGACCAAAAAAAAAAGTGTTGCAATCTCTGTGATATGTTCATTTCTATAATACTATACTGCAAACTCCTAGGCGTTTTGCTTTCTCATGGAGTAATGTCCATTTCTGTCTATAGCTCTGCAAGATCCTAGCCGTCCATATCAACATCATTTAGGAATAAACTATGTAACGTTCATTTGTGTACACATATCTATACAATACAACCATAACAACTTTCATTATATGTGCCCTAACTTGTCTTTTTCACCTTTGAATTTGCATAAGGTTTACTGTAAGGCATGCACGGTACACACCCCAAACCTAGTAATGAAGAGTATCATTCCAAATGCAGATGTCAGACATATAGCTCTTCATGTCATCCACTATATATGAATCATCATGAGTTAACATTATTCTACCCAGCCTGTACACAACTTGGCAGAAAATAATGTCTCCAATGAAAGTTCAGAAAATGACACACACATAAAAAGGCATGAGCCAGCCAAGACAATCAAACCATAGAAAATTGAATAAAAGGAATCTTTGTAATGGAGTATGCAGGCAGTGGAATGATTATTCTTGACATGCATGGACATAATGTATGTATGTGTCTGTACATGCAGGCACAGGTCCAGCTGGACCTTGTTCCGGCAAAGTCAAGCTTCTAGATCTCCAAGTTTTACATTTTTAGTTCCTAACTCCTGA